AAAAAAAAAAAAAAAAAAAAAAAAAATCACACCCTCCCAAGTAAACCAAATCCTCCAAACGAAAAAAAACCCACTTGGTCTCTTGTCCGGCCAGGACCTGCTGGAACGCCCCGACGCATGCCCCCCGTTTCCCCTCCCAGTATTCCGGGTTCGGATCCATCCTCTCCAAGATGTCGAACGCTTTCGCCGCGTACAGGAACTGGCCCACCCGATAGCAGTCGTTCCCGATCACCTGCGAACGATGCGAAACGGATCGACGTGGAATCGGGGATCGACACGGAATCGGGGATCGACACCCTTTCCGACCCTTCTTCCCACTTCCGTGCGTCGGGCGTCCTTCGCGTGCACGCTCGGGCAGATGGGCAGACGGCACGCATGTCCACTTTCGTCCGAGCGTTTTTCGCGAGACGCAGGGCTCGCGTGTCAGAACGGGACGAGTCCGATCGGAAACGCAAGCCCTGCGTCTCGCGAAAACCTCCCACGCAAAAGCGGACATCCCTGCATCTCCCCCTTCCTCCCCACGCGATGGACTCACGACACACCGAGCGGGAAATGCCCTCAACCCTTTAAATCCCACGCGATGGCTCTGTATCGCCTTCAGTCTTGTTCCGGCTCCAGTACGCACGCACGCACGCAGGCAGAGGAAACTCGGGAGTTAAAGGGTTGAGAAGCCTGGCTCGTGGTGAGCCGAGGTTCCCGAGAAGCATCTTAACGGAGCACATGGCTAAAAAAAAATATAAAAAAAATTCACACATCACCAGGAAAACGCGTTCCTACTATTCAAAGCAAGAGGGATGCGGCAGCATTTTCCGAATTACAGGATATCGGCATATTAAAACATCTGCAGCACGAAACGAATCCTCGGAATCCCTTCCGGAATCTCCCCGAGTAGTCGACGGACGCGACCCCGTCCTCGAAGAGGCGCAAACCCTACCTGGAGAAGGCTGAAGGATTCGGTCGAGGTTTCCATCTTCATGTACATCTCCCACGCACTCCACGGCTTCTTGTTCATGATATCTACCGCAGAGAACGAGACGACCCGTGAACTCCGTGTCGGACGGCCCCGACCGAAAAAACCCCACGAGACTCACAGCATCTGGCGAGCCAACCGAGGTAGGCGTAGTCGTTCTTCAGCTGCTCGCTCTGGACCATGAGAAACACCTCTTCCGCTTCCTTGTAGTTTCCGGTCGCAGCTTTCGCCTGAAGAAATACGACGAAATTGGCCATGCTTATTAGAAAAACCGGAGGTTTTTCTAATATGACTTAACCTCCAAATGACTTAACCTCCCAGGATAAACGCTCTTTGAGACGATGGCTCAGAATGAACTTCATTATTGCAAAAAACAGATTGAAAATAAGTTTGCAGCAAGATGCAGACTCTCCCCATGTACGAAGAAATTCCTGAGTTTGGCAACAAGTACTTGAGGGATAACGGGTCACCAAGGGGACAAAGGAAGAGGAAAACGCCCAGAAGGGAGGACGAAGAGCAGCTGGGATTCTAATAGCCCGGGGAGACAACCACGGAGGCAACAAAAAGGGTGGAAGTCATTCTCCTGCACCATTCAATGTGGCACAATGAGGTGTATATGCATTGCTTTCATTTGGGAGGGGGGGCTCGAGAAGACTTGTATAATAGGCAAAAAAAAATTGCATCACGTTGCATGAAACCTGGAATTCTTGCAATTTTTCTTCTGTTTCGAGTAGAACACCTTTTAAGACCCGAAGCAAATGAAGTTGTGGGCAATGGGGAACTAGGGTTTGCTTCATTTGCAGCTGGAATCTGAGGAGAAGCAATAGCACCTGCACACTCCAAAAGCATGAAAAATCAAAGGGGACAAAAGGAAGGACTCCACCTCTGTTTCTGAATGTTATTTAATCCATGTCTAATAAACTTGAATTTTGCCATCACTGAGGGTATGAGATGAAAAAAAAAAAAAAACATTCTGGCAGATGGAAGCACTTGGATTTTGCTTTTAAGTTGAAGCTCAAAAGTACAATGCCTGTAATAAAGGGCTTTTCTTACACACAAGCCCACGGTGTAATTTCCTTCGTGTCTGGAAAACGGGATACTTCCTTTATCTGCCGTTTCCCCACCACGAACCGATTGCCATGGAAACACCATTATAATTCTCAGAAGAACACAGAGCGATTCACCCCATTCGAGAGGGACCCCCCCGAAACCAAGACGACACTCCCAAGGTCTCCTCCCCGATGAACCAAATGACCTCACTTAAACAACAATCCTAACGGGTAAACCCGAGCTCCCGCGTTCATCCCCCCGTCACGAGCGTCTGGCATCCCCAACCCAAAAGTTCCGACTGTTAGCCACCACAGACGATAGCGAACGGCGGAAAGCGGCACCGCTCGGCCTCTTCGTCGTCGCGAGCCACACGATTTCAAAATTTGTCCGTTACCTTATGACTGTTAAGTTTTCACTCTTCCAGGCCTTGTGGGACTCATAAGGCGTTTTTCTGTACAAATTTTGTGGGGCTGCACAGGAATGCTTGACCTTAAGGCCTAGCAAGATTTCTGAGTCCCTGTGACCTTTTTGGGAATTTTTACTTTTGTGGTCGATGATGTTTCATTGTGGATGGTTGGATGAGGAAAATTTGTTTTTACATCATTAATAGTTAAAAACTCAAGTTATAAAGGGTTAAAATTGACTCTGAACCTCATGCCAATTTTTTTGCTGTTTTTAAATATTTCTTCCTACAATAGATAATTCCTTATCAATTAAATATTCATAAATCCAGAAAATTTGATTCTGATACACACTGAGACTATTTAACGGTAATAAACGATGTGGATGATAAAAAAAAAGCAAGGGGTCACACAAGTATACATAGTTGTGACAGTTAAGGGTTAACAAACTGCAAGATTGCTAACATTACATAACACCCACAACAAATACAGAGAAGAGGAAACGCCTCTCACATGATGAATGAACTAAATATAAATATATATAATATATATATAAACTAAATAAGTATTGCTAAATAATTTCCTCGGACATTTGGGAGTTCGCACGATGGGAGTGTTACAGATTCCTTAGGCCAAAACATCGAGGTCAGGGCACCTGGGCATAGTTGTAGTTGAAGACATCATCGTTGTAGAAGTACGACTTGATGGAACTGAGGTACAGCAGGACGTCCTCGAACTGCCGCAGGAGGAAGAAGCACGACGCCATGCACTGGCGGCCGGGGATCGTGTCGCACTCGCTCGCGCTGCCGCCCACCAGTTGAAAGTACTGCTGTGCTGTCTTCAGATGTTCCCTCTGGTGATGCAAATGAAGACGGGAAGGAATCGATCATCCTAACAAGTTAAATAAAGGGACGGGAACAGGAGCTTCTCGTTCACCGAGCCCGAGAGCTGCCCCATGGCGGCATTCACGACGGCCTTCAGGATGTATTCCTGCGGGACCGTCGGCTCCAGGTCTTTGATCAGCTCGTAGGCTTCCTTGACCTCGTCGTTCCTGAGGTGGAAGATCACCAGGTTCAACCTGGCTTCAGGGATCACATCCACGAGAGGTGGGAGAATCTGCAACGTACAAAAAATATATCACGTTTGACTGCTACAGGGTAAATTAATTTAAGTCGCGATAAAAAGAAGGGTTCGAGTAACCTGAAGTGCTCCCTCGCCGTGGCGAAATACCACGAGATTGTGCTTCACCAAATCCATGCCATATTGAAAGGTCTTTGAAGGGCGATCCTGGCAATGACACGAATGAATACTTGGAATGAATACCAGCATTCCATCATACCTGGAGAAAGTCATGAGGACTGCTGGATTGCACATACCAAGAGAGGGCGTATTTCCTGCTCTGCGGCTTTCCCGTTGTAGAGACGGAAGTGGTTGCAGGCCTTTAAGTTCATGACGATGAGGGAGTCGTTGGGATAGCCTGCCAGCATCTCGAGGGATACGTCGTAGTAGTCCAGCTTGTAGTAGCAGAGGGCGATGTATACGTTCAGAGCCAAATAACTCCTACAAAATCATGTACTACTTTACTGTCTTCATTTGTTTAAAGGTTCCATGTTAGACTTAGGTTATGAAAGGAAAAACTCAACAAAAAAAAACAACAAAACAATAAGTATGTGCCAAAAAGTAAATGTAAACTGGACATATACATCAGGTGAACTGAAAAAAAATAGTGCAATTACCTGCGAGTGCCAGCTGTGCCAAAAAAATGAGTGCAGGAAACAGTGGACCTATCCGACTCATTGGTGCCCATTTCTTCACACCATGCCTCCTTCTTTAAAATGTCTCATGCAGTTCTACGAGAAGGAAAAATCATCCAAATCCCAGAAAAAGGGTCTATCTCATTCATCCTGTTCACACAAAACACGTAAGAGGCGAAATGTGAGGTCGTGGCAACCACCATACCTGTTCTCGAGGAGGATCCGCTTGTAGATGTCGATGGCCTCCTGGAAGTGCGAGCGGAGGTAGTGGATGGATGCGAGGCTCAGCTGGTCGGGGATTATGTCCTCCAGCTGCTTGTGATATTCCATGAGGCGCTGTTCGTCGTTGAACTTGTGCGAGAGGTGGAACAGGAGACGCGTCTTCAGCTGACTCTTCCCTGCCTTCTTCGCAGCCTACACAAACAAAAAACCCACATTGCAAAAGTGCATCTGGTTTACCTCTCCAGAGTTTTGCATCCTTCGACCCACCTGATCGGATTCCTGGTACATGCCGAGGAAGAAGTAGCAGCATGCCAAATGAAGCCAAATGTGCTCTGGGGGTTTCTTCATCTTCTTCGTGATGGCATCGTATTCGAGAAGAGCGAGCTTGTGATCCCCCAGATGAAAGGCACAATACCCCAGCCACTCGTCGGTTTCGTTGGTTCCCTTCCCGCTGCTCCTATCAAACTGAGGAGAAACAATACACAATGTCAGTCAGAATAAGCTACACGGGAGCAAAAAAGATTTAAAAAATCAGAAAACACAAATATTGAAACCTCTAGGAGGGTGATGGCTCCATTGTAGTCTCTCTCCTCCAGGAATTTCTCCAACTTGGGCATCTGCTTCTTGGATTGTGCATCTTTGGAGGTTGAGGACTTCGACGCTGCTGGCTTCAGACGAGAAAGAATCTGCAGATGGAGAGGAATGAACAGAACTCATTATCGCGGCCCATGACTGCTCACATCCCAGTCTGCACAGGAACGTTGAGTAAACGTCGATATTTGGGGGATACGTTGATTTTTGGTGTACGTTCATGTTTCGATGTTGAGTAAACGTCGATACTTGGTGGATACATCGACTCCTTGGGTTCGCTCGTAACTCGACGTAGAGTTGATGTTGAGGAGAGGGGGATATTCCAACTCATGACATCTTCGCTTTCTAAGAGTCATTTGTCAAAATTATAATAATTTTGCGTCATTGGATATCAATCACAGGGCCTATTGGAA